TTTATCTTTCTAAAGAGACTAAGATCACATCAATTGGACGAGTATAGCTCAAGTTGTGCCCAAAATACAAAATATATTTTTGCTGTCGAATTTGCTTGCTTCAATGAGCAAACTTAGCGAGCAACGGCATTAATGAAGGCCCATGAATCTTCTGTTATAAAAGACACACTTTAGGGGTTTTCTAATAACTTATGATGGTTGGGGATGACTTAAGATAAACTTAGCTTTGTTTATGAATTGATCACCCATATATGAACACATGAATCTTGCATGACAATAAGAATGTTGGTGTCGGATTTCGATTGGTTAATTACTGGATTTTACTTGATCTAGGGATAGACTTGTGAAATCTATGACCTTTAACTCTTGTTCTTAATGCTTGCCCTATGAGAGATCATTAAGAGATTAAGGTTTTGAATAAGGTAAATGATTGAATTACCAAGGGATTGAGGTTTAATTAATTATGAAAAAATTGTCAATAACATGAATTGAATGTTAGTTTTAGGAAATGGTAAATTCATTAGGAAGATATTGGGGAAATCAACTCCTTAGATACCCTTTGCATTTGATTGCATAGATAAATTCAATGTTATAAAAACTGGATCGACCCAGAAATCAGTGAATTGGTCAAACAATCGGTCCAATTTTTATATTGGATCGGCCATGTAATGGAACAAGTGTGACTCGATCGATTTTTGTAAAAATCGGTGACCCGACCCAGTTCATAAAAAAGAAATTAGTTTGCTCTAATCAATTGATGTCTTTCCTTTTTTTACTCTCATACACAAATGATTTGTTTTCTTTTGAAATATTTGAATGATCTTTGCTTATTGACTTACATAGGTTATGTACCTACAAACTAATATTATCTTGATTATGCAATATGCAGGGAATTTTGATTTGAATTATAGGTACAAATGTCGTATACTAAACCTGAAGCACCAGTATCACAAGTATTATATGTTTGATTGATCTTTTGTTGGACAATAATGTGTAATTTATTATTTTTCATATTAAAATATTTGGTATTAGTATCATTTTTCTACATGTATTTGAATATATTTATAGCTTTTATAATATAAATTATAGATTTACATATACTTACCAGGTCATGCGGTTGAACCAGCGACCCAATAACTCAGTACCTCGAACGAGTCAATAATCGAGCCAGTTTTAATAACATTGGATAAATTATTGCTTGATAGATCAATCCTCGTGAGAACGATAACTCTACTTATCACTTAATTACTTGTACTACCAATATACTTTCCGTAATCGCAATAATCATTACAGTCATTATTGTCAAAAACTAGTTTAAAAACGTAGAAACTTACGTTTTTACTGAAGTGGTACGTGTTAAAACGCAAGTAAAAACTCTCATCAGTAAAAACTGATAAAAAATACGTGCAAAAGCGTAAAAACGGTAAAAACGCAAGTTTATATGTTTTTACCTAAACCAAAAATCTGAATCAGGTCTTATACAAAAAAAGAAAAAACTGAATCGGGTCAACTGTTAACCATGACCCTTAAAAAAAAAACCTATTTCCATTCTCCCAAATCAAAATGCATAGTATCTTTTTCTAACTATTTAACAAAAAAAAACCCTTGCGTGAGGTCGCTATTGCAGATAAAGAAGAGGGTGAAGCCATTGGTGGAAAGTTTGAGTACCAAGTCGACGTGGGTTTTGAATCAATCTATTATGTTGTTATAGGAGCAAGAGAAAAGGACATTGAGGACATATAACTGATGCAAAATGATGTGTTTGGTTTGAATTAATTGATATAATTTAGAAGTTATTAACTTTATTCTTTTAATGTTTTGAAACTTGGTTGTAGGAGTTGTTAAACTCCTTTTTATGTTTTTGAACTTATGTCTTATATAGTTATGTAATTTATATCTTTTAAATATGAAGTTGTTCATTAAATTTTAAGTAGTGATTTATGTGATTTAATTATATATATATATAACTTTGTATCTTGACCTTAAGTAGTAAAAACTTTACGTTTCGTGTCGTTTCTATGATTTACGTTTCTACCTCCATTTTCCGTTTCTACGTAGAAACTCGATTTTGACAACATTGATTACAATACTCGTATTTACACAGAAAATTATCCTTTCTTTCTATCATGATCATTTTTGTATACCGTAATCAACAGACTTATAATTTAACAAAGTATTCTCTTTAAGAATATCCAGAGCATATTTCTTCTGATATATCACAATTCCATCTTTAGATTGGGTCACCTCTCAATTTCCTAGAAATATCGAAGTTTCACAATATCCTTGGTCTAAAAATGATGACTTAAATGTTGCTTCAACGAAGTAATCCAATGACTATAACTACCTGTGATGACAATATCATCAACATACACCACCAAGTAGATAGACTTGAAAGCGGAATGATGATAAAAGAGAGAATGATCAACCTCACTTCGAGTCACACCAAATTGTTGAACAACATTGCTAAATCTGCAAAACCAAGCACGTGGAGATTGCTTGAGACTATATAGAGACTTGCGGAGACGACTAACAAGAGCCGACTCCCCTTGAGCAACAAATACAAGAGGTTGATCTATATAAACTTCCTCCACAAGATCACCATGAAGACTTCAATCCCAGTGGACTTTTATGTGAAAGATCATGTTTGAAATATATAAAACTATTAATGTAACGTTATCCAATAAACTAAACTTTTAAATTAAATTGATTCTTTACGGTTACTTTAAAGTACAAGGCAACTCAATTGTGTAGCTAGATAGCAGGACAGATTAGACAAAAACTCTAATTACAAGGAGAAGCCACACCGCCTTATATAGCAGTGAAATCTTCCCATTATTTTTTAGTCTTTGGCTATTGTCGCAAGGAAATCACATATGATTTTTCTTTCTTACTTTTCTTATATTGTAAATAAAAAATGGAAGTATAGGTACCTTGACCCCCCACAAAAGACATTTGTGGCATTCATCCAAACTCCCAGTTCTGCATTTGTCATAACATAATTTGTGGGGTTTTTTTGTGCAGTGCCACAATTTGTTGAAGTATTTTTTGGAGGTTCGAGACTCCCACAAATATTGCACTTTCTGGAGGTTTAAGACTCCCACAAATGTTGTATTATTTATTGGGATTTAGTAACCTCTACAAAATTCATCATTTTCTAAAGGGCATAGACTGCTACAATTTATTTATTATTTTGACAGATTTAAACATCCACTAAATACTAGTTATCCAAATTTGAAAAGTGTGTATATCATAATTTTGGAATTGGACCCCAACACTTGATTTGTTAGCCAATTTATTATTTATTTGTTTGATCTCTTAACATTTTCTTGAAAACAATTGTTAAATACTAATTATCTAAAAGCAACACTATAGCACACCAATCATAATTTATATTTATGCTTGCAGTTGGTTTACTTTTTTAAATAATATAACATAGTGGAGCCATGTTAAGAAAAAAATCAGTAGATATAACTTTCCCGTATATGCAGAAAAAAAAGCAACATAAGGTAATAATAGAACGAGAAGCAGAAGCATAAACAAAAACTGACTCATTCCCCATAAGATGAAGCAAGACTACAAAAACGTAATGGTAGCATTCGAATATCTGAAGTAATATTACTAAAATACTTAACAAAACCCTTCCAAAGTTCTATTCTCCATCAAACTATCCAAAAATAATGTGACAATTTTAAATAAGCAACAAAATTTATGCATAGGATTTGAAAACAAAATGAATATTGTAAATTGCTCTGCACGGTCTGCTCTCTCAGACTTCGAATAGTGCTTCGGACAGTCACAGCACTGGCAGTACTGTCAAGAAAAATATGTATGAACAAATCATTTCCTCAATCACCGTTAAAAAAAGAAAATAATTAAATAGAAAAATATACTAGAGGAAAATTCTTACTTCAATGTGTAAGCACCTCCAACTTTCACTTTTCCATAATCTTAGCAACCCCAAATACCCACAGCCTAAATAGTCGACGTTTGTTACTAATATAATTCATGCAACAATCAACTCAGCCTGATTTCAAACATTCTGTAAAGTAAACTCTTGCATAAGAAGTCCACCTGTTAAAGTATGAAACCAATTGAGAGTACACTTCCAGTAGTAAAAATCAAAACGGATGATACTAAAAATATATATTTTTCAGAAAAGGATCCTTTCCATTCAATATCGAGACTTCATGTTCTGAATATATATACACACTCTTAAAGCTGCTTTTCGTAGAGAGAGAGGAACGCATGTATGCCTTCATGAGCTTGAACACTAGAATATGTTCTTTTACATCCTTATAATTTTTAATCCATGGATGACCTGCAGTATATAAATATAAGTAACAGAATAGAATATAAGAGAAATCAAGACCCTCCAATGAATGATAGATGAGATCACCTAATGCCTGTGCTGCGGTCATTTACTATTGCTCTCAGCAACTTCAATAGTAAATGAGACAAGAACAAGACGTAACCCTCTACTCCTCAGCCTGCATGGCTCTATACCCAGTATAGGCAATAACTCTATTATAACCCAATTGAACACCAGCAATAATGCTAATAAATTAAATTGTACTGATTACCATAGGTTCATCCAAGATATCATATGAATATTAAGGGGATTAATCTGTGAAATTGATGTGTTCTTTTCTAGCATATGAACCACCAATAAGAATGGTTTAAGGACAAGCTGACTAAATCCCTGACCAAAGTTCTCATTTTTATAGTAAGTCTTTCAAAATGAGATGTTGAAAAAGCCAAAAAATGATTTGTCCTTTATCCATATACAGATCCTACTCCTTTTCCTTCTACTCTAAGTGCTTTTTTGAAATTTTAATAAAACTTTAAAGTATTATCCATGCATGCTAATATCTAGTTGTGAGAATCGGTTGCTACTTATTGATATAGCTGAGGTTTTTATTTTGACTATTAAAAAAATATTATTCAATGGTTTGGAATTTAAGATTCAAATGTTGGTTTTTATATGTGCCAATTTTTGAGGAAATCAGCGTGATTTGTAAAAAATAGAAACAATTATGGCTGTAACAATTATTTATGTGCTAAACTAAAAACACTTAATTACTTATACTTAATATTATAATCATTGCAGGCCACCACGGATGTTACCTTAGCTATGTTGACAAGCTGATCATGGTTGTTATGACCATAAAAGAAAGGTTCCTTGCGAAATATCTACACACAAAGTACAATGAACAAAGCATAACTCAGAATTACACAATTTTTCTCATGTACGCACAAATTTAAACTATCTATATAATAAAGCCAAGAGTATTTCATATATAACCAATAGCTTATAGCTATAATTCTCACCATTCCAGTATAATAAGGGACAAAGCAAGCAAGCAACAGAGCAAACAAACATATAACCGAAAGAGAAAAGAAAAAGCATAGAACCAAATAAATAACTTCAATTGAGAGTATATATATAAGAATGTAAACTAAATTGAGAAATCTTTTCCGGGCTCCAGCTCTCCACCTGTCAATGCAAGAGACATTTATACAGTTTGATTACTTAGTTAAAAATCATAAGCATTGTCCACAAGAGAAAGTGGGGGGCGGCGAGGCTCTGATACCATGTAAAGAACCTTGGGATACACCACCCCAAAAGCTAGCTCAAAGGGTGGGAGTGCCCAAGACTTTATAAACTCCACATTAGTTGCATATACAACCAATGTGGGACTATATATCTCAACACGCCCCTTCACACGAGAGCCCATTGGGCTTGAAGAGTGGACAATGCAACAGACCTAGCCTACCTGTGCTAAGAAACGCCACAAGAGAAAGTGGGGGGCGGCGAGACTCTGATACCATGTAAAGAACCTTGGGATACACCACCCCAAAAGCTAGCTCAAAGGGTGGGAGTTCCCAAAGCCTTATAAACTCCACATTAGTTGCACATACAACCAATGTGAGACTATATATCTCAACACGCCCCTCACACGAGAGCCCATTGGGCTTGAAGAGTGGAAGATGCAACAGGCCCAACCTACTTGTGCTAAGAAAGTCCACAAGAGAAAGTGGGGGGCGGCGAGGCTCTGATACCATGTAAAGAACCTTGGGATACACACCCCAAAAGCTAGCTCAAAGGGTGGGAGTGCCCAAGACCTTATAAACTCCACATTAGTTGCACATACAACCAATGTGGGACTATATATCTCAACATGCCCCCTCACACAAGAGCCCATTGGGCTTGAATAGTGGACAATGCAACAGGCCCAGCCTACCTGTGCTAAGAAACGCCACAAGAGAAAGTGAGGGGCGGCAAGGCTCTGATACCATGTAAAGAACCTTGGGATACACCACCCCAAAAGCTAGCTCAAAGGGTGGGAGTGTCCAAGGCCTTATAAACTCCACATTGGTTGCACATACAATCAATGTGGGACTATATATCTCAACACGCCCCCTCACACGAGAGCCCATTGGGCTTGAAGAGTAGACAATGCAACATGCCCAACCTACCTGTGCTAAGAAACGCCACAAGAGAAAGTGGGGGGCGGCGAGGCTCTGATACCATGTAAAGAACCTTGGGATACACCACCCCAAAAGCTAGCTCAAAGGGTGGGAGTGCCCAAGACCTTATAAACTCCACATTAGTTGCACATACAACCAATGTGGGACTATATATCTCAACGTGAATAAATGTATGTTATGTATTTTCTTGCAATAAGAGAAGATATGTAGAGAGTGGAATGGAGGATTGAGGAGGAAACAACATGATTATAAAAAAACATTACTTACATTGTCTGAGAACTGGTCTAAAGTGAAGCCAGCCATGCCAATGACAGCATGCACAGGGTTTGAGGACCCTGGTTCAATTGAAATGCAATCATCACCTGTTAAAAATCATTTTATTATATAACTTGGACAGCTAGCATATGTAAGAAATTATGAAATACAGTGATCATTGCTTTTTAGCCATTACCATTTCTTATCATGGTGTTATATATCCCAACAGACTTTGAGTTTTCTACATGAATTCCATCGGTGTTGGGGCTGAGTTTAGGTGAAGAAATGAAAAGCCTATCGATAAGTACTCCTTGGCAGCCATCGAATTTCATGTGGATCTGAGGACTGTTTTGAATTTTCAGCCCATTCACCTTCAAATTGGAGCTCATGAAGAACCGTATCATCTATCCACAGAAAAGAAAAAAAAATTGTAAGAAAGTTGTATATATATATATATATAAAAAGTTAGTTAATTCTTGAGCTGAATTCTGAAGAATAGTTTACTCACAGCAGGACTACCACATGGCCCTGGAAAAGTTTTTCCATCCGGACCCTGAAAATTCCATTTTGTCACTACCACTTAGTGGGGTTTCATCTAAAAGGAAAAACTGCAAAACAATAATATGGAAAGCATAATGATAGGGTCATTGTATTTATGATAAGATAAAATGCTTGATTACCCTGTGAGGTTTGCAGGGGAGATCCCACCACTTTTCTCCATTGCCTTCTATTGTTCCTGTACCATTGAGAGTCATTTGGTCTAATCGGTAAAACACAAGCCATTGATTTTGGCTATCTGCTTCTGGCCATGAACTCGGTCCATCTGGTGCCATGAATGTACCATCCACCTAATTATATTTGAACCTTGTTACTGAATTGAATACAAACATAATATAATATATTATTTCTTAGTGTTCTAGTACTTGTTGAGATTTTCAATTACTGGTGGGGTTACTTACCAATGGATTGGCCAGGGAAGGTGTCAACAATCTAGACAATATCTTCCTCAGGAACACGGTCACTGCGGAAAATTCCCTTGCAAACACCAATGCGGTCTTCCCTTGTAGTTAGTGAAGAAGTTGTTGAGGTTGACATGGATCGAATAGGAACAGGGGTAGTCACATTTCAACCTGACTCTTACAAGACTTCAGAACCATACAGACCGAAAAGAATTTTTTATTTTATTTTTTTAAGAGGGAAAGTGAATTAGTTCAATCTCTCTTTTAAGAGGGAATCCACTTGTTTGTTCTCCTGTTTCATGGCCTACTTTCTAGAAAGAAATAATTCCTTGGTTAAAAATATTCTGTATGATGTTTAGAAACTATAATAGGAACTCTACGTGTAATGATTAAAATGATTAAAAAGTGACAAAATAGCTGTGCTAGAGTACTGACATGGATATTTTTTGCTAATTTTTGCTTGTATAATAAACCATGAAGACCACAAGAGGCAGCCGGCAGTCAGAAGTATCGAACCTATAATCCATTTATCTAACATGGCAGCTGGAGGTGTTATTGTAGCTTCGTTTGTTTTGTGCTGCGATAGTGGGTTGATTAAGGGTATTCCTTTATAAAGGACCGATAACAAAGCTCCACCAAAGCACACAGAGGTTCCCAAGACTTTGGCTTTTCCACTGTTGCTTTTCATGTTCACCTTCTCTATCCTAGAAAATTTTCAAGACAAAAGGATCAAAATTGTTGTAGTTATATTCCACAATCAAGTAATATCCTTTTGTTTAACTTACCCAAATAGCAGTGCGACAATGAATGTAAATACAGGCACCATGTTGTGGAATGCACATGAGAACGTGACAGAAGTATATTCAAGTCCAAGAAGAAATAGTGGGGGAGTGTTACTCTGAAAGGCATTGATAAAATATTAAAATCAAAAACTCTAGTGTCTAATTGTAGATATTAAAATTAAAACATCATGTTATCAAAAAAAAAAAAAAAAAATTAAAACATCAGTACACACCTTGATTCGTGTTTATCGGGTTACAAGAATACATACCCGACTATAAAAAATATATACAAACTGATGCTTATGATATGTTCTGCATATCACTTCTTACAAACATATCTTCTTATTAAATATTTTCTGTATACTTGCCTAAAAAAATCCATTACTTAAAAGAAAAAGACAACAGCTTTGAAAGTAATTTTGGAACAAATTTACGGATCATAAGATTTTTCTTTAATTTGTTTTATATTGTCAGCTTTCAATCACAATTTAATTTAAAAATTAATAATTTGTTGAGCAAAGAGTTTAAATTCCACCAAAAACGCTCATGTTTTTCTTATAGTCTTACTTTTAGTGTGAATCTTGAACTAAATGGTGTAATTATTCTTTAAGTGTCACAACCAACAATTGCTCCCTCAAAAGCCTTTCAAAAATGAAAAGCAATACAAGTTCAGTAGATTTTTTAGAATCAATAATGTTGTGTTCCTGTAGCACTACTCAGTACACCAAAACCAAGCATGAATAGAAAAGAGCGACATGGACCAAAAAAAAATAAAAATAGAAATGAGATGCATCAACCTAAATAGGAATTAAGCATCACCCCTCATGCCAAGGTTGCACAGTCCCAAAGATATTGACGCACCAGGAAACCAAATCTAACGAGGAAGAAGTGAAAAATACCTCCTCAAGAAAAAATAGCTTCGAGCTCTGCATTCTCTCTTGCCAAATCCAAAATTGAGGAAAAGCATCATGGCATACATAGCATTCGAGCTCAGCAATCTCGCAGCAGAGTGACCACAACCTGTGAAATTTCGGTGACCACAGCGTGTACAGCTGCGGAATGAGTTGGGAGGGAGAGAATACATAGCTCAAAATCATGGGAGTGAAGAAGGACGAAATGTGTGGGTGGAAACCCTAAGAGAGAGAAGGAGAAGAAGACAATACATGTGAATGGGTTTCTGGATCCATGAAACGCAATGGAAGGTCTTGAGAAGGGAGTGTGGAAAAGAAGCGAGTGAGAGCTAACAGTTTTGGGTTCTAAGCGAGGCGAAAATGATGATGACCCGAATTATAGGTAAGATAATATTAACTAAAATATAACTAATTTTGATGACTGTTTAATAAACTTGGATCCTTTCTTTATTTTTTCCACGAGCATAGAAACTGAAGCTATGCATCATGGCTAAATACCGTTTTTCTTTTTTTTTTGAATACGCTAAATATCGTTTTTCTTATACAAGAAGTGGCGTTATCAAAATTTGTATATTTTATGGGGTTTTATTGAACTCCACTAAATAACCTCCACAAATTACCTAATTTTTTTTTGTAGTATAGACTTATAATATTCTATTCAATTTTTCCGATAAATTTTTTGTTAATCAAACAACTTTTTTTATGATTTTTCTACCAAATTTTATTTCTCACCATATTCCTAGTAAGTATATTTATCTGGTAAAAAAAATTTCTCCATGTCAAACATCCCTAAAGACATCAATGTCCACTCTTATCGACTTCATTTCCTTGTCTCTTGTGGCATATTTGCAGCCCGTATATGTTGCTTACGTATGGCTATAAAAACTTCATCTTTGGATCTTACAATTCTTATTTCGACTCAGTCTCCTCTCCCTTAACGTCTTTAACTACTCCCCGCAAAAACAGACAGGCCATAGGTCAAAGAAGGCTTCAAGGTAGAAAAACATACCTAGCTACATATTCATATATACAAAAAGACAATCATTGTAAATTGGCTAAGACATTTAGGTAGCTATCATGGCGGGAGGAGGATTTACATCAGCTGGAGGGGACACCGAGTTTGAGGCGAAGATCACATTTACTGTCATTATATCTTGCATAATGGCAGCCACCGGTGGTCTTATGTTTGGTTATGACATTGGAATTTCAGGTACTTACAAACTTAATAACATTTGATATTAAATTAAATCATATTTAATGGGCGAAAATTGTGAATTGCAGGCGGTGTCACATCAATGCCTAGCTTTCTGCAAAAGTTTTTCCCAGACGTATACAGAAGGACACAGGAGCACGGGATTGATAGTAACTACTGCAAATATGACAATCAAAACCTTCAATTGTTCACATCCTCACTCTACCTTGCAGCTTTGGTTGCAACCTTATTTGCCTCTGGAGTCACCAGAAAACTAGGCCGCAAGCAAACTATGTTGATTTCTGGGATTTTCTTCATTATTGGAACTGCCTTAAATGCGGTGGCAAATACCCTTGTCCTCCTCATTATAGGCAGGATCATACTTGGCTGCGGTGTTGGTTTCGCAAATCAGGTCATTACACACACACACACATATATATATAGGGTTAGGATCATTTTACACCAGTATAAGTTACACTCTCAATCTTATTCGTTGATTCCACTTATATCTAAGGGCGGTGAATTTTTAATAATGTGAGCCATTAGATACAAGTGGATCGATGGTCAAGATGAGGTGTAAGGCTTCTAACTCTTACACCGGTGTAAGAATATATATATATATATATATATATATATATATATATATATATAAATATATATATATATATATATATTCCAAATTTCACTCTACTTTTAAATTCTATTTTTTGTTTTAATTTTTTTCATACAACTTCATACATCATCTTTCTCCTTTAATGCTGCTGATTCTTGATCAATTATAATTTTCACAACAGGCTGTGCCAGTGTTTCTTTCTGAGATTGCACCCACAAGAATTCGTGGAGCACTTAATATCATGTTCCAGCTTAACATAACCATTGGAATTCTCATAGCAAACATTGTCAACTGGTTTACTGCAAAGTAAGTTTAATAATCCTTACATAATTAATAGAAATTTGATAGGCACAAAGACTACATGATTTTATTTTGATTAATTGAAATTTTTGTATTGGACTCTAATTGTGTAAGTTGGGGAATAGGATTGAAGGTGGATATGGGTGGAGAATATCAGTGGCATTGGCAGGCATTCCAGCTCTGATGCTCACCGCGGGAGCCCTCATAGTTGATGACACTCCCAATAGTCTTATTGAGAGGGGTTTTGAGGATGAAGGAAAGGTTGTGCTAAAGAAGATTCGTGGTGTGGAAAATGTTGACCCTGAATTTCAAGATATCGTTAAAGCCAGTAAAGTGGCTAAAGAGGTCAAGAACCCCTTCACTAACCTCCTCAAGCGCCACAACCGCCCTCCTTTGATTATTGCTATCCTTTTGCAGGTCGCTACTTATTTTTCATACTTGTCATTTATCATAAAACAAGAAATATTTCCACTTTTAAGCTTAAATCGTTATGTGATGAATGGACATCAATGCAATTATTAATTGTATCTAGTAGCATCGTACAAATTTGTTGATTGGTGTTTTGACTAATATTTTTTTTTGAATTTTCTATTGGTATAGGTCTTCCAACAAATGACTGGCATAAATGCGATCATGTTCTATGCTCCAGTATTGTTCAACACATTGGGATTTCAGCATGATGCTTCGTTGTACTCAGCTGTGATCACCGGAGCTGTGAATGTCCTCTGCACCTTGGTTTCAGTGTTCTTAGTAGACAAAGCAGGGAGAAAGGTGCTACTCTTGGAAGCTTGTGTTCAAATGTTTGTGTCTCAAATGGTGATTGGAATAATACTTGGGTTAAAGGTACAAGACTACTCAGATAGCTTGAGTAAGGGAATTGCCATGTTGGTGGTGGTCATGGTTTGCACATTTGTGTCATCTTTTGCATGGTCTTGGGGACCACTTGGGTGGCTGATTCCCAGTGAAACATTTCCGCTAGAGGCTAGGTCAGCTGGGCAAAGTGTGGCTGTGTTCACTAACATGCTCTTCACCTTTATTATTGCACAAGCTTTCTTGTCCATGATGTGCCACCTCAAGTTCGGGATCTTCTTATTTTTCTCGGCTTGGGTGCTTGTCATGACATTATTCACAGTGTTCCTAATTCCAGAGACAAAGAATATCCCCATTGAAGAGATGACTGAGAAAGTCTGGAGACGACACTGGTTTTGGAAGAGTTATATGGAAGATTAAATTCGAGGCCATATCCATGTGGAATTAAATTACCTTGAATATTTCGTACTGGGTAGGCACACATATCCCACATCAAATAAAAGGTCTAATGAACCATACGAAGAGAGCTCTCTATTTCTTTTTTAATTCTTTGTGCGTATAATTTACATCTTTTATTTACACTTTATATGTTTAGGATAGAAAAATAAAAAAGAAAGTCTGTTAGAATGTAACTTTTCAGTGTTTTACTATCTCGAATTTTTTGCATAACATTGATTAGTATATTTTTTTAATCTTCTAATGTTACTATTATTATTATTACGATGATATATGATGATAATGTTATCAAACCAAGTTAGGGCCTAGAAAAATCCTATCAATCTCTAGTAAGAAATCGGGTAAAGAAAAAAGAAATGAAAATGATAACCAAGGTATAATAAATTTCAAAAAAAAAAAAACTTGCAAACAAAAATTTCAAATAATGAATTAGGCTCAAAAGATTAGTTGCCTGTTCTTTTATGTTAACAATTATTGAGCTTGTTTTGGTACAATTTAATGATAAATGTTGCAACAAGAGGATGCAGTAAATATGGCAAACGGAAATTTGATACCGCAATACTCCTTTAACTTGAGTTCATTCGGAAAAACAAATCTCTAGTTTACATCACTTTTTTTTTTTTTTTTTTAAATCCTAGCGGGGCATCTTTATTTTGCTTCTCATTTCAAAAAATATTTTTGGTATTATAAATATAACGAACACTCGGTATATCTTTTATTAAATAAGAAAAAATAACACATTTATATTATTTTTACTTCTATAATTATTTCCTTTTTATATTTTTTTTTTTTTTTTTTTTTTTTGAAAAAGAAAGTACTTATTCCCAAACCACTGAAAATGTGCTCCTCGTTCCTTAGCATTGGGTGTACCAAGGTTGCATTCCCAAGCTCTGCATATTACAGAGACTTGCAATAGTGAGGCCTGCAAGAAATTTTTCCCAAATTTAGCGTTGTGTAGTTTCCGCCCCAAATAAGAATAGGAAAAAAAAATCCCATGCTCGTAATTACGTGAGCTGATTGTGGGGGGAGTAATCCGCGATTATGCTGCATGTGGATTTCTGGATATTCCAAGAATGTAAGTTTAGGAAATTCAACGGTGGCAGAGCTTTGGGTGCATACCTTGACCTTGAGCTAGTATATGGGATCGAGGGTTTAGTAAGGTTTGGCTAGATGGTGACTTTCTTTCAATTAGGAACTTCCTTTTAAATGGTTGACAAGCTAATCATCCTAAGCATCTATTGCTTAACAACATCAGGTTTTCAAGGTCATGGAGGGTGAAGATTACACACAACTATAGGGAAAGTAATAGTGTGATAGATTGACTTTAACACATGTTTTGGAGCGAAACTGAGATTTGAAAAGGTGGGAGATTCCTCCTGTGGAATATATTCCTTTGTTTCAAAATGATATAAGAACGATTAGTTTTCTTCGTCTGTGTTGTAGATAGCACAACATGTTTCTCTCTCTTTCTCTCTCCTTAATTATGTCATAAAACAAGAAAGAAAGGTACTGATTCTTCCAAGCATAATTCAATAGTTGAAATATTTGCTTCTAATTTTTTTTAATATGAATTCAATGATGAAGAAGAAGATGATAATAATGATAATAATAATAATAATAATAATAATATAAAAAATAATAATAATTTATGATGATGAGGATAATAATATTAATTAACTTTTGGGACTCGAGACTCTTAAAGAATCTTTTTCATTCTTTAGTTGTGTACGGAACGATAGAAATAAAATAATTATATTTTAGTTTATAAAAAATTTGCAATAATGTTATATATACAAAATTTTTAAGATAATAAAACAATAAAACATACATTTTTTTATTGTTTTATGCTAAAGAATTAAAGTGCAAAGTATGGTGAAAGAATTTGATTCGAGATATTTTTTTTGGATAAAAGATGAAAACAAAAAAAATTGGGTAAATGTCATATCGCGCCTTATCCCATGCAAGCCAAGACTAACTTGAACTTTTGTAGGATGTGGGGTCGATTATGTGGCTGCAAGTGCCCACGAAGTAATATTCGAAGTAATGTACTTTCACGTGTATATGGCCTCAAATTTAATCATCCATGAATCTCTTCCAAAACTAGTGTTGTCTCCATACTTTCTTGGTCATCTCTTCAATTGGGATATTCTTTGTCTCTGGAATTAGGAAGACTGTGAATAATGACATGGCAAGCACCCAAGCCGAGAAAAATAAGAAGATCTAGAATCAGCTTCCAACAGGAGCACCCTTCTCCCTGCTTTGTCAACTAAGAACACATAAACCAATGTGGAGAGAACATTCACAGCTCCTGTGATCATTGCTGAGTACAGTGAAGCATCATGCTGAAATCCCAATGTGTTGAACAACACTGGAGCATAGAACATGATCGCATTGATGCCAGTCATTTGTTGGAAGACTTGTATCAATAGAAAATTCAAAATAAAAAATTAATCAAAACACTAATTAATAAATTCTTATGTCGGCCCGTTCATCACCTAATAATTTATATAAGCTCATATATGAGGGAAAATAATATTGTTTGGTTTATGATTAATGACAAATATGAAAAATATAAGTAGTGACCACCTGCAACAAGATGGCAATGATCAAAGGAAGACGGTTGTGGCGCTTGAAGAGGTTGGAGAAGGGGTTCTTGACCTCTTTAGCCACTTTACTGGCTTTGACGATATCTTCAAATTCAGGGTCAACATTTTCTACAATACGAATTTTCTTGAGCACAACTTTTCCTTCATCCTCAAAACCCCTCTCAATAAGACTATTAGGAGTGCCATCCACTACGAGGGCCTCCACTGTTAGCAATAGAGCCGGCACAATTAGAGCCTAATAACAAAAATTTACACAATTAGAGCCTAATAACAAAAATTTCAATTAATCAAAATGAAATTACGTAGTTTAATTTGTGCCTATCAATTTTCTGTTAATTATATAAGGATTATTTAGCTTACTTTGCAGTAAACCAGTTGACAATGTTTGCTATGAGAATTCCAATGGTGATGTTAAGTTGGAACATGATGTTAAGTGCTCCAAGAATTCTTGTGGGTGCAATCTCAGAAAGAAAAACCGGCACATCCTGTTGGGAAAATTATAATTCATCAAGAATCAACAACATTGAAAGAGAAATATCATGCATGTGGATGTGATTGTACCCCAAAAAATGTAACAAATAATAGAAATTAAAAATGCAGTGAAAAATGAAATATATAATTAAGTACCTGGTTGGCGAAACCAACACCGCAACCAAGTATGATCCTGCCTATAATGAGGAGGGGAAGGGTATTTGCCACTGCATTTAAGACAGTTCCAACAATGAAGAAAAACCCAGAAATCAACATAGTTTTCTTGCGGCCTAGTTTTCTGGTGACTCCAGAGGCAAATATGGTTGCAACCAAAGCTGCAAGGTAGAGTGAGGATGTGAACAATTGAAGGTTTTGATTGTCATATTTGCAGTAGTTACTATCACTCCCGTGCTCCTGTGTCTTTCTGTATACTTCTGGGAAAAACTTTTGCAGAAAGTTAGGCATTGATGTGACACCGCCTGCATTCACATACAATTCACAATTTTCAGACATTAAATATGATTTTGTTTATGACTTTATTTAATCTAATCGGGAATGTTATTAAGTTTTATATATATGCACCGGCAATTCCAATATCATAACTGAACATAAGACCACCGGTGGCGACCATTATGCAAGAAATGATGACAGTAAATGTGATCTTCGCTTCGAATTCGGTGTTCCCAGCTGCTGATGCAAATCCTCCGCCCGCCATGATTGCTAGCTAAATGTCTTGCCCAATTTACAATGATTGTCTTTTTGTATATATGTTTTTGTAGCTTCAAGTCTTTCTTTGACCAATGGCCTGTCCTCCTTTTTTTTTAACAGACGATTAAGTGGAGCTAAGAATTGTAAGATAAAATAGGCTGCGATGAAGTTTTTCTAACGATACGACGCAATATACATAGGGGCTGTAAAGTTGCCACAGGAGGTAAGGTACAGAAGTTGATAACAGAGTGGATGTCGATATCTCTAGATCCGTTTGGATTGGGTCAAAAATTCCACCGGTTATATCTAATGTAAGAGGTAATATTCAAGAAGTTATATCTAATTATGGAGAATACTAGCTACGAGGGAAATGGAAGCAGAAGTTATATCTTTTTAACATTTCCATTCAGGATACTATGAAATTAATGGATGACCTAGTTGTCCTAAGATCTACCATCTTCTGTAGCGTTCCTCCGCTTTATAATAGAATATATGCTGGGTAGATTAATTATACATTTATACTCTAATTTTTACAACTGTTCGTTAGCTTCTAATTTTGTGTTCATTGTGCCATTCAATTGGATTTTTTTTGGCAGTATCATTAATGGTGTTAAAACATCCGGTGGTCTGAGGGAGAGGCTATTTAATGTTGCCTACAATGCTAAAAGGCAGGCATTATTGCATGGTAAAATGTATTCACAATGAGCTATCTTTTGAGTAGGATGCATTTATATAGTTATTTTACCTCATTTATTTATTATGTTACGTATCTGATTGCTGCTGTACCCTAAACATTTATCCTAATGTCCCACTTTTCGGCAAAAATTCAGTACCACTGTTATTTTCCAAAAGTATCTCCATGCTGAAACACATTTATAAAGATTGACGAGAGTAGAGCAATCAAATATGTAGGTTGGACTCACGTGATAGTCCCGCCACTTACAACGACGAGACCAGCAGCCACGTAGGATACCACACCAATCCTCGTCAGTCCAAGTCACGTGTGTGCATGTATCCCGCTACCTGTTGTGACTCATTTCAGTCCCGCCATGTAAGTTGGCGAGACAAACATGGATCCTGCCACTTCAATTAACATATTCTATGAGTCATCCGCCATCTATGAGTCATCCGCCACGTGCCTTGACGAAACTCTCTCATTCATTTGCAGCCATCCCTTTCTTATCCCCTTACTTCAATTAACATATTCTATGAGTCATCCGCGTGTATTCATTTGGAGAGATACATGTGTTCTGAAATTGTTTTCATAAATGCGGATCTGTTAAAAAAAATTGGGTCACTTTTTTTTATTTTAAAATCTCTTACGACATAATTTTTTAAGTACTTCGCTGTCAAACAAAATTATCACATGTATCTACAATTAATCGAAGACAAAAATAGGGTGGCATGAAAGGAAACCGATGTAGCCCCAACAAATTAAAAATAAAATAAAATGAAATGGTTGTTTTAATAATTAGTAAATTTGTTTTAATTAGTAAAAACTGGCCCATTTGTTTTGCCTAATTAATAAATTAATTAATAATATTAAGCAAATTATGTAATTAGTAGTATTGTTGTAATGTTATTAATTCCCTTTTCAAATATTCTGCATTAATGAAGAAAAATATTTTTGAGAACCTTAGGCATCAAAAAATCATTCCTAACATAATTAGTAAATGTAATTTGGCTTTTGGTAAACAGTAATTAATGTAATAATTATGTAGTAATTTTAACTAGTGTTTTAATTAATAGTAATCATATTTAAATTTACAATGCTTTATAATCCATGTTAGGAAACTAAGTTTTTAACATTGGAAATCATAAACATGAATCTGAAATAGTAATTTTAATTTAATATATTTATAATTATTACAATTTTTATTTATGGAAATCGTAATAATTGTTTGAATAAATATATAATTGCAGTTTACATGTTAATGAATAAAACCTTCAAAAAAAACATATTAAGTTAAATTAATAACAACTAAAAAAGTAACTAAATAGTCATTACAATTTATTGAATTAGTTAAATACATGCAATTAAATCCTTTACACAAAATTATTTATTAATATTACAATGTTACAAAAAGATCTTAACCACGAAAATCGCGTTCCAGCCATTTAATTACTGTATATTTGCCAAAATTAGTAACTTCGACAATATACTTCATAGTACAGTAGTAAATACATTGTAATTATTTCTTATATGTTGTTGTAATTATATTTGCAGTCATATTTTATTAAATAGTAATTGTAATAGTAGCTTAATTATGTAGTCCCTATATTTTTTGATAAATTTTGCAAGGGGATAAGAAAGGGAGGGCTGCAAATGAATAAGAGAGTTTTGTGAAGGAACGTGGCGGATGACTCATAGAATATGTTAATTGAAGTGGCGGGATCCATGTTTGTCTCGCCAACTTACATGGCGGGACTGAAATGAGTCACAGCAGGTGGCGGGATACATCCACACACGTGACTTAGACTGACGAGGATTGGTGTGGTATCCTACGTAGCTGCTGGTCTCGTCGTTGTAAGTGGCGAGACTGATCACGTCAGTTCAACCTACACATTTGACTGCTCTACTCTCGTCAATTTTTACAAATGTGTTTCAGCATGGAGATACTTTTGCAAAATAACAGTAGTATGGAATTTTTGCTCCCACTCTTCATTCGTTGATGAAACTACCCTTGATAGGGAAATAAGCGGCAAAACAACCATAGCACGAAGAAGAATAACCGAATGTTATTCCAAGTGGAAGCTGATCTCGAAAGTAATACGAGACTACAGCAGTCAAACGCGTTGAAGACCATGACGACACCTTTTAAGAACCTTGAGGTCACCACCCCAAAAGCTAGCTCAAGGGGTGGGAGTGCCCAAGGCCTTATAAAGGCTATATTAGTTGCCCATCCAATCAATGTGGGACTATATATCTCAACACGTCCCCCTCACGCAAGAGCCCTTTAGGCTAGAAGCGTGGAAATTGCACAGGCCCATCTTTGGTTTACCTTTTTGTGCTTTTTTTTTTATTTTAATTCCACTTTTTAAAGCGGGAGACGGTGAGGCTCTGATACCATGAAAGATATCATATGAGAGAGAGAAGAAAGAAATAAACTGAAATTTTGATATTGAGAAAATGAAGTGATGATTACATTTAGCTGTGTAACTCTAAATTATATACTCCTAGTCTTAGATGAATCTCAGCCATTCATAAATAACTGAATGATCTCAACCTTTCAATAATAACAGATCAGCTAAACAAACTAACTGACTTTAAACAAACTATCTAACTTCTGATGTTGGGCTTCTGTTATTGGGCTTGGCCCATACATCCTTTATTCCCCCGCAAGCTGAAGAGGGGTTGGACTTGGAGTCCACCACGCGAAGCTTGGTCTTGAAATCAAGGAAGGAGACTTGGGAGACAGCTTTGGTAAGACCATCAGCAAGTTGGTCAATGGCTGGGACATGGTGCACCGACACAGCCTTACTGAGCACCTTCTCCCTAACAAAATGGAGATCCAGCTCAAAGTGCTTGGTCCTGGAGTGAAAGATGGGATTAGCGGTAAGGAGCACAGCGGAGAGGTTGTCACAGTAGATAACTGGAGATCTGGGGATACTGATGCGAAGTTCGGAGAGAAGGGACTGGATCCAGGTCAGCTCAGCGACGGTAGCAGCAAGACAACGATATTCCGCCTCAGTACTCGAGCGGCTGACCACATGCTGCTTCTTGGAGGACCAGGTGACAAGATTCGATCCAAGGAAGATACAGAACCCACTGGTGGAACGGCGGTCGTCAAGATCTGAACCCCAATCGGAGTCACAGTAAGCAGCCAAATGGAAATTGGGAGATGGGTTGATGGTTAACCCATGAGAGATCGTCCCACTCAGGTAACGGAGTATCCTTTTAACAGCCTTCCAATGTGTATCTAAAGGTACATGCATAAATTGACAGACCTTGTTTACACTGAATGTGATGTCAGGACGAGTAATTGTGGCATACTGAAGGGCACCAACAATGGATCTATACTGAGACGGATCAGGATGTGGAGATCCATCACGAGAAGAAAGCTTGACACTGGACATCATAGGAGTTGGCATGGACTTGCAGTTTTCCATGTTGGCCTTTTTGAGGAGATCCTGAATATACTTGGATTGATGGAGATGAAGACCACCAGAGGCTGATTTGGTCACCTCAATGCCCAGAAAGTAGTGCAGATGACCAAGGTCCTTGAGAGGAAAGGCATCATTGAGGGAGTGGATGAGAGTCTGAATAGCAGAGGAAGAAGATCCAGTAACAAGTATATCATCGACATAGACTAGGACATATAGAGTAGCAGTAGGTGTAATGGAGATAAAGAGGGAAGAGTCACATTTAGCAGTGACAAAACCCAGTTTGTGAAGAGTGCCACTGAGTTTGTCAAACCAGGCGCGTGGAGCCTGTTTGAGGCCATAGAGAGCCTTAGTGAGCTTGCACACCAGGGTTTTATCTTCATGAATAAAACCTGGAGGTTGTTGCATGTATACATCTTCCTGAAGATCACCATTCAGGAAGGCATTGTTCACATCCAGCTGGTGAACAGGCCAGCTTCTAGAGAGAGCAGCTGTAAGGACGATCCGAATGGTAGCAGGTTTAACCACAGGACTAAAGGTTTCCTGGTAGTCAAAACCTTCCTGTTGGTGAAACCCCTTGGCCACTAGCCTGGCTTTATACTTAAGAATGCTGCATCAGGATGAAATTTGGTGCGAAATACCCATTTACAGCCTATAGGAGACCTGTTTGAAGGCATAGGAACCAACTTCCACGTATTATTTTTGAGTAAAGCAGCATACTCTTCTTGCATAGCTGCATGCCAGTGTGGTTGTGCTAGAGCCTGAGAGACAGAAGTAGGTTCCAAAGAGGTCAAATAGGCTTTAGGTTTAAAGATACCAGCTTTAGCTCTAGTAACCATAGGATGAGTTGGAGGAACCACAGGAACTGGTAGAGTGGAATTAGACCTGCAACTGTTGTCAGAA